GAGTGGGGGCACAAGGGCCTTGCTGAGGTCGGGATGGTGTACTCGAAGCAGACGCATTGGGTGAACCCAAACCCAAAACGACCTGTGAAGCATGGCGTGATTTCTTCGCAAACCCAGAGGACTCGGGCTCTTTTCCCGATCTCCTTTCCCTACGGCCTGGGACTGACAATGAGCGTGGTGCCGACATATCTGACTGGTCAGACTCGGACCCGGATGCGTAGTCTTCGGAGATGCTATGCTGAGCTAACTCAACCTCCCTTTCTTGAAAGCTGGCCTGGATGAGAGACGCTGAATCCTCGGTACAACAAAGCTCAATGTCGACGGAGCAAATGTCCTTGAACAAGTCTATTTCGCGTAGGTTCGAATCGGCCAAAGTGAACGGCAAATAAGTCAACGTACGACGAGCAGTGGAGAGACGAACGAGTGTCGCAGGATCGACAAAGTGCATAATGTCCCACCCTTGACCAGCCAAATTGTCCTCCAACCAAGCAATTCGGTCCTCAGGAATCAGATATCTTTTATCCAAACGAAGTTCTGCCAAAATAAGAGGTTAGTTAAACCTGCAAAAACACAATATGCTATGTTTCAAAGACATAAATATATATACCAGGTTTTGGGCCAAATGCCGACGGGATAGGCATGTTAGACATCTCTGGCGCCGCCCACTCCCCAGTGATTAAGAGAGGTTGGTTTTTCCAGTACTTAGCGGAAGTGGGCTTACAGGTAAATACCTTTTTACCCAATCCGGACGTAAAGAAGAAATAATGACTTTCCCCTCTGACACAAGCCAAGTCGTAAAGGTACATGAAATCCTTAAAGCTAAGGGACACACCTCATTTCAAACCAACGGCTAGAAATCCAGATATGAGAAGGTAAGAATTCGGGTTTAGTTGCATGGGGTGAAGGCCTAAGTAGAATAAGAGCATATGAAAGAAGGGATGGAGCGGGAACCTAACATACTCTAAGTGGGCCGGCGAGAGAATTAAGGAACCCTGAGGGATACCGGCACCAGTGTACATATTCGCCCCCAGAGGAAGAGGACCGACCCCTACGTTGTCGGGAACACATCCTTTGGTGCGAGCCTTAAGTATCTCATAGTTCGGTGGGACGCCACCGGATTTGGGCCAAATCTCGTGGCTCCACATGAAAAATAGCAAAGATGAAAATAGTACTTACTTGGTGGTGGCAGAAACAAGATCCCTTCGGCGGAGTTCTCAAATGCACAGAACACTTTCCTCTCCTTTCACGCCTGAGGCTTGAATATGAGGAACAAGAGCACATGGTTTTGCGAGTGAATGTACCCCCATCAACCGAACTTTTATAGCGGAGGCGAAGGGTTGGTAAGGTAATTCACAGAAGTCACGGGAAAGTCTGTCGAAAGCAAGGATAAGGCCGGATGTGGCTGGTTCAGATATTTGCTTCAGGCTCTGACAACAAAGCTTAGTATGATATGATAGCTCGAATTTATTTCTACCCAACGCATGCAGAAAGCTGCATGCACTCAGCAGATGCAGACAATAAGTGGTGCAAGGTACACCTACGGAGCTAAGCTTGTTCACCCCTTCACGCAAAGACTAGAGCACGGATAGCTAAAGCGAACCATGCCAAAAAAAATAAAAAAAAGAGTCGTGAACACCTTGGATTGGCGGAGAGACCGAAGGCACACGGGTCCGGAAGGACAGCTAAGGGGTATTTGGGGTCTGTATGGATAGCTGAAGCAAAAAAAAAAAAAAAAAAAAAAAAAAAAAAGAGAGTCGTGAACACCTTGGATTGGCGGAGAGACCGAAGGCACACGGGTCCGGAAGGACAGCTAAGGGGTATTTGGGGTCTGTATGGATAGCTGAAGCAAAAAAAAAAAAAAAAAAAAAAAAAAAAAAGAGAGTCGTGAACACCTTGGATTGGCGGAGAGACCGAAGGCACACGGGTCCGGAAGGACAGCTAAGGGGTATTTGGGGTCTGTATGGATAGCTGAAGCAAAAAAAAAAAAAAAAAAAAAAAAAAAAAAGAGAGTCGTGAACACCTTGGATTGGCGGAGAGACCGAAGGCACACGGGTCCGGAAGGACAGCTAAGGGGTATTTGGGGTCTGTATGGATAGCTGAAGCAAAAAAAAAAAAAAAAAAAAAAAAAAAAAAAAAAAAAAAAAAAAAAAAAAAAAAAAAAAAAAAAAAAAAAAAAAAAAAAAAAAAAAAAAAGCTCAAACTTGATGGGATCGGCCAAGAGAGAGAATGTGGCATCGGCCAGGAGAGAGAGTAAGAGAGAATATAGGATTGGACGGATTGGCAAAAGCCCAAGCCCAAGTGGGGATGGGATCGGCCAGGAGAGAGAATGTTTACTTTGATCATTTTTCCCTCCCCACCCGCAAAGCGCGTAGAGAGGAAAAAAGGGGGGCACTGTGGGGACCAAATCTAACATAATCCATATGCCACAACTAAAGAACGTGGGATGAGCAAACTTCCCTCCCATTAGAGGAGTGCGAAACAAGGGAGACTCAAATTGCTCGTCTGATCCCATTACCACGAAGTGGAGGACGGGACACGCAAAGCTAGGGAAGTGGGGCTAAACCCACGACCTCGGAATGCTATAAAAACCTAGCTAGACCTCCAGCAAAGGTACGTGAAATTGAAGCGAACACTAAGAGTACGTTGCACAAACACTGACTTGAGCGTCGGAGTGACTTTTGCAGGTACTCACCCCCTTTCCATCGTTCGATTCCGGGAACGTAATCCGGAGTTCTCTTTCGAGTAAGGAAGCTTGCGGACTTCAGTCAAGAACCTGTGGAGGTATTTCTTCTTGAAAGAAATCCTGCTCCAACACTCACCAAATGTCAGATTTTTTAAGCTTAGTTATTTTCTGACAACCATGCAAACTATGTTTAGAGGCACAACACACCATAATGAGATTACTTCAATGAGCATATTGACGCCTAATGAGTGACACTTGACTATAAAGTCAGTTGTTAGTTAGTCCTGCTGAAAAAAACTTGGTACTAACTGTGGTTCGTGATACTCTTCGAAGCGAATGAATCACAACGGCCATCTTCGTAGCAGTTGCTGAAAACACAGAGGATTCCAATCTCTGACATCGTAGTCCTCGGCATATCTGTGAGAAGGGAATGAAGACTCTTCACAGAATCGCAGCAAACAAAGTTTCTAATCTTTCATACTCTACTTTTCATTGGAAATAACTTCCAAATGCTGTCTTCTGTTTCGCCGAAGAAATACGCTTTTGCGAAATTTTTGAAACTTAAAAAAAAAAAACAGAAAAACAGTAGAAATCATGAAAACAGTATTTTCACTCTCAGTTTTCAGATAACGAAAACTGTTTCATTTTATCCAAACCAACTTTTTTACAATTCAGCTGGCATTTCCTATTGAACAGACATCATGCTGATCAAACTCATTGCCTTTGTCTGTTTCAGATGGTTCAGTTGTAGTCAATGGCAAATCCAGGATTGTTACCCTATGGGGTCATAGTGTTAAAGTTCTGAATTTTTTTTAGGGTAAAAGCAATGTTAACAAATTAAAAAACATGCCAAACTTACCATAAATTTCATCAAAATAATAACACCTACTCAAATAATAATTACACACATCAAAAAATAACCCAAATGATAAATAAACCCACCCAAATAATAAAATATCTGGAATATTACAACAAAAAGAGCATAATGTGTGTTGAACCCTCAACCAAAGATTCTTTTCAATTCAGAGGCCACTATAGTAAGTGATATCTTTACCTTATTTATGTATACTTTTGGTATTTATTGGTCTACCCAACATAATTATAAAAATTTTTGAAAAAAACCCTAACCGTGAGTTCAACATAATTACAGGGCTTTTTTTAAAGTCTATTTCAACATAGGGCTTTTTTATAATTTAGGCTCCTATATTGGGTATAATAGTGAATCTCCCAATATTTATTCAACATCAAAACAAAGGGTAAGTAGTGTGTTCATATATTAAGGTTATACTATATATATATATACATATATATATATAGGTCCATGTTAATATATTAATTTAGAAAAAAAAAATAGAAAAAATAGGGTAAGTAGTGTGTTTCAGTGGAGGTGTTAGGTCTGTTGTTTGTTAAAAACAAAAAATCATGATTTAAAAATATAAAAAAAAGGCACGCTGAACGTGCGTTTCTTTATGTAATCCCAGCACTGAACATGCGTTTTATTAACTATATGAAACGAAGTCGTTTCATTCCCAAAGAACCCTAAAAAAAACACGCGAGATCATCTTCTTCCTCTCGCAGCCGCTTGCAGAACAGCTGCGCTTCGTCCGCCTAACCACGACTCGTCACGCCTCGTCAAAACTCGTCACGCTAAACGTGCAACTTGCTAAATAGAATAACGCCTCAAGCGATTTCCTTCCACCTTGCTCCAACGCGCTCTTAGGCATGCCGTGAGAATGGGATGGATACATTACACTCGAAGGGGAGAGTGGCTACAAACAGAGTTTTCTATTAAACAAAAATAGTAGAATCAATGAAAACGGCTTTCATTCTGAGTTTTCGGATAATCAAAACGGTTTCATTTTCACCAAGCCAACTTTCTTACAAGAGATCTTCTAATGAAACTAATTGCCTTAGTCCATTTCAGATGGTTGGGATGTGGTCACAGAGTCTTCTGCAGCTACTGTAGTCATAGAGTCTTCTGCAGCTATTGTAGGAGAAGACAAGAAAGGCTTGGGTGCAATTGGCAAGGAATGAAGGGGTCCTTCCAACATCTCTACAACTTTGCTCATTGATGGCCGATCAGAAGGAATGGTCTGAATGCACCACAGACTTATTAATACCATCTTTCTTGCTATTTCTTTTTCCTCCTCTGTGATTGCCCCAAATGCATTTTCATCCTTTTCTAGCTCTAGATCTTTATAAACATAATCTGGAAACATTTCACTCGTATGAGACACTCCCGAATCCAAATTCTTTTTTGCTCCAACCATTTCAAGAACCAACATACCGTAGCTGTAAACATCAGATTTGTGAGATACTCCACCAAAGTTCCGGCTAAACACTTCTGGTGCAATGTATCCTGCAGTTCCTCTTGTGCCCATCATCGATACAATACTGTCCTTCGTTTTGCATAGTTTGGCAAGGCCAAAATCAGCAATCTTGGGGCAAAAATCTTTGTCCAAAAGAATGTTTTGTGGCTTTATGTCAAAATGCAAAATTCTTGTGTTACATCCACGGTGTAAGTATTCTAGTCCTCGTGCAATACCAACTGCAATTTCAGATAGTGTCTTCCATTCTAATCGAAAATTTGCCATTTCAGATCCATGCTTATGTATGAAATTATCCAGAGATCCATTAGGCATGAACTCATAAATCAAAGCTCTTTTGTCCCGCTCATAACAGAATCCAGAAAGAGTGACTATGTTGACATGGGAGGTTCTACCAATGCTAGCAACTTCATTAACAAAGTCTTCTCCATTACCGTTAGACTCGCTTAGGACTTTGACCGCCACCAGAAGCCCATCAGGTAGCCTGCCTTTGTACACAGTTCCATATCCACCTTTACCTATTTTGTCTCTGAAAGAGTTTGTCATTTTCGTGACATTTGCATAGGTATACCGCTTTGGAGTAAGCGATCCATAGTTCCTTAAAAATGCCTCAACATCAAACTCATCCCTCTTATATTTCTTGACAAATACGACCATTCTTCTTCTCGATATGCATATAATACAAAGAATGATTACCATTACGGAAAATCCACCAACAGCCAAACCTGCAACAAAATACTTGTTTCATTATAATTACTTGATTTGTTGGATTTTTATTTTATGTAGTTATTAGTTAAGCTCCTAGTCATTTTAAACAGTCATTCAAGTTCTAAAACCACTTTGGAAGGCTACCATTTTAACAGTCAATCAAGAACTACAACGAAAACAAGTAACCAAGCAGTATAAATACTGTTTTAAAGATGTGAAATATTACCTATTGCAATTTCCTTCTTTTTTCCTGAAACAGCCACAAAGATAGAGAAATGTTAGTCGATGAATGAATAATCAATTGTTAAAAAAAGACTACATCAACAAAGATATTTGGTAGATTACATAAAAAAAAAAACTACCTTTTCTGTCACTGCTTATTTGCCTTAAATTTGGTCATTGTGTCGCTAATTTTAATCAATCGAGTCAATTTGTTGCCAAATGCTTACAATTTGAGAACATTCCATCTGTTTTTTCTTTTTCTAAAAGCTTATTATTAAAATATTCATCAATTAATTAATATAGAATCAATAAGAACCCTAAATGCCAAGAAGGGTTGGTTGAGTTGGTAACAATCCTTATCTTTGCTATCAAGGCCTAGGTTCGAATCCCGCTACCGACAATGCCTCTTGGTGGGTAATATGTAAAAACGAAAGAAGGGGCTAAGACCACCTCTGTAAGTCTTCAAAGAGGCCTTGGTATGCCCTGGCCTTGAGATGGGATAGCCTCCCCTTCCCCTAAACTTTTTTTCATTCAAAAAATTAAAGAAAAAGAAAGAACCCTATATAATGATTTAAAAAGAAGGCTATTATTGACACTCCAAAAATGTCGTTGTGCACTTCCTTTCAAAATGACAGTTGTGGAGTGACTTCAAGTTCAATATAAAAGAAGTATATCTCCCTTACATTTTTATGAGGGATGATAAGCTGACATATTTGGGAGAGAGATCTGGTACCCAAGGGTACATAGTTTCGAACATTGATCTTACTATAGCCAAAATTTAGTCCCTTGAACTTTGGGTAGCCACAATACCCAAAGGATAACCAATATTTGAAATATTTGAGTATGGAAATTAGGTGCTGCAGTTGAGGGAGTCAAAGTCGACTTACTGGTTAGTTTTTTCATGTTCAATACTTCGAGAATAAGACCTAGTCAATGAAAATTTTGGTAACCACAAAAACGCGTCTCTGAAGAAAATGATGAAGTTTTTTCTTTTGCTAGAAAACATGGAATTATCAACTTGAACAAAGACCTCCGTAGGCAGGATGAATAATAGAAAAATGTAGAGCTAACCAAGCAGTTACTAGTATAAATACTATTTTAAAGAAGTGAAATATTACCTATTGCAATTTCCTTCTTTTTGTTATTGTGTCGCTAATTTTACTCAATTGAGTCAATCTGTTTTTTCTTTTTCTAAAACCTTATTATTAAAATATTCATTAATTAATTAGTATAGAATCAATAAGAACCCTATAGTTTCTGTGTTCTGTTTCTGTATGCAGACAGTTGGCTCTAACTACTTGGACAAGGACTATATAGCACACAATTCCCAATTTCCGACCCGGGTTTTTAACAGACGAGCCTAATCACACACGTAGGTAGCTATCTAAATTGTAATAAAAAGGTGTGGATGCTACCAATCCTGGGATTCAATGACACAAAAACTTCTAACATCTTCCTAGTCTGTAATTTATAAGAGAATGACAAGGGACGGACATACCTTGTGCTCCGGGTGCAGTTGCAGTACATACGCTTGCATAGGCCTGATCCAGGCAAAAGCAACTGAATCCACCAGTTGTCGTGTTAAGCCCACACATCCCTCCTGATTCCACACAACTGTTGCATTGAACATTATCAATCTGCAATCCCAATTCAAAGCCCCCATCTACCGCGTCCTGGAGAGTCATTGGATTGGCCTCTAGAGTCACAGCAGCTGTCCTAAAAGCGGGAACATTGACCCCATTTTTACAGATGCCGTTAGCAACTGGATCAGATGGGGGACTTCGCGTGGCATACGTAACATTGTCGTTGCTTGTATCGCAAGACTGGGAACTAGAGTTAAGCCCCGGGATACTTGTACTGCACCCGTAGTAAAAGGTCAGGTTTGTAAGCCCTGAAGTATAATCAAACAGAGAGAAGTTGATGTTGGTGTTGACATAAGTCGGAGGACAGATAGTTTCCCAATAGTCCTGCCTGGCAACTGTAACAGAGGGAGCACTAGGGTCGGTTTTAAGAATTCTGTAGTTGATACTCGATATGTTGATCATGGGGACATTCTCTAGGCATTCAACCTCGAACCCTGGCAGACCACAGTAATTAGCTCGGTTTACTCCCCAAAACGGGTATGAGAGTCTGATGCCACCGCAGTTAATATCTTCGCTGCAGTTTGTATGTTGTTCATACTGGCTTAGACTTAACTCAACGTTGATCGAAAGAAAGGAAGTGATCAAGAGCAAGGGAAACAACGATTGAAGCAGAAGGGTATGCATGTTTTTGGAGGAAAAAGCTCAGAGTGAGGGACAAGGAAACTCAAGCATCAATGAAATGGGGAAGCACAAGGATTGAAATGAAAAAGGAATAAGTGTCCTGTTTTATTTTAATATAGTTGTTGTGCCAAGTCTTAAGCTATAGGCCTTTGAAATTTTCAATGAAGTGTGGTAAAGGAAACAGAAGCCTATCTCGTTTTCTCTGTTTCTTTTCTCATTCTTGTTTGAATTTCTTGGCACACCAGCCAATCCCAAAAAGGCGTGCACTACTTTTAATTAGTCTACTTCCATGTTTGTTTATATTTCTAATTAATTTCCTAACCCACTCAAATGATGCGGAGGTGTTCTCATGAGGGCTGGAAAATATGTTCTTCCAGAAGCTAGACAAAGTCAATGGATGATGGAGTTTAGGGATAGGTACCACCAAAAACCTTTAGCAAAAGACTTATAATAAGTACAATGCAAAGAACATGGCAGGAAGAAAATAATAGTTAGAAAGGATTCCATGACTTGTTGGCTGGTCAAGGATAACCACAGAGCAACAAACATTCAAAAATATCTCAACCATTTCATCTCAAATGGAGAGGGAGGACGTGAGGCCAGGTGCTGGCGGCAAACCGAGTGACCCCTCCTCCACCCTCTACCAATACACCGGGGACGAATAAAGTGTAAGATTTGCATTCTAATACAAACTCTAAGATGGTCTTCTAATCACTTAAGGATAACTAGTTCAATGTCAATTAGGATTACATGGATCGATTAATTTTAAGGCTTGATATATGACTGTTTTAGATAAATACATGTGCTTAAGGTTTCCTAACTCTAAATGGATTGAGATACCTAATCCTTATGGTTAAAGGAGTTTAAGTAATCCATGATGAGGAGGATTCTTAAACTATACCTATAAAAGGGAGGTCCCTATGCTAACGGCATAAACATTCTCATATCATTCTACCCCATCAAGAAGAGATTCAAGAGCCGTATAGTATAGAGAAACTACCCTACTGCAAATCTGCCTAAACCGGTGAACCAGTCAAGGAGCCTGCTGCAGAATTCCAGTACAGTAATTGTCACAATGCCGGATCAAGGTATGTGTTTTGAATATATAAACCTAGTAAAGATTTACATAAAGGTCACTTTAGCTTGAAGGATTTTAGCAAGTTAGGGTTTTGGTTAAAGATGAGGCAAATCTTTAACCAAATCCCTAATGTGTTCCTTAAAGTGACAAAATAAGGCCAACTTCCTAGTCTGTAATTTATTATAGAATCAATAAGAACCCTATAGTTTCTGTGTTCTGCTTCTGTATGCAGACATGGGTTTTTAACAGACGAGCCTAATCACACGCGTAGGTACCTATCTAAATTGTAATAAAAAGGTGTGGATGCTACCATTCCTGGGATTCAATGACACGAAAACTTCTAACATCTTCCTAGTCTGTAATTTATAAGAGAATGACAAGGGACAGACATACCTTGTGCTCCGGGTGCATTACATGTGGTTGCGTAGGCCTGATCAGGCAAAAGCAACTGAATCCACCAGTAGTGTTAAGCCCACACTTCCCTCCTGAGTTCTCACAACTGTTGCATGGACCATTATCAATCTCCAATCTCAATTCAAAGCCCCCATCTACTGCTTCTTCGATAGTCATTTGACCGGCCACTAGAGCCGCAACAGCTGTTGTGGAAACCGTAACATTGACCCCATTTTTACAGATGCCGTCAGCAACTGGATCAAATGGGGGACTTCGCGTGACATACGTCACATTGTCATTGTTTGTATCGCAACGTTGGGAACTAGGGGTAAGCCCTGGGAAGAAATTTATACTTGCACACCCATAGTAAAAGGTCAGGTTTGTAAGCCCAAAAGTATAATTAAACAGAGAGAAGTTGATGTTGGTGTTGACATAAGTCGGAGGACAGATAGTTCCCCAATAGTCCTGCCTGGCAACTGTAACAGAGGGAGCACTAGGGTCGGTTTTAAGAATTCTGTAGTTGATACTCGATATGTTGATCATGGGGACATTCTCTGGGCATTCCACCTCGAACCCTGGCGGACCGCAGTAATTAGCTCGGTTTACTCCCCAAAACGGGTATGAGAGTCTGATGCCACCGCAGTTAATAGCTTCGCTGCAGTTTGTATATTGTTCATTGTCCTGGCATAGACTTAACTCAACGTTGATCGAAAGAAAGGAAGTGATCAAGAGAAAGGGAAACAACGATTGAAGCAGAAGGGTATGCATATTTGCTGGGAAGGCTCAGGGTAAGTGACAAACCAATACAAGTTTAAAAATAGAAAAAGGGAAGCACAGGATTACAACTAGGAAATTCACAGGTCGTGATTAAGGAATGAGTCGTGTTTTTTGGGCATAGAAGACTTCGAAATATTCAATGAATGGGACATAGAAGACTTTCACATTATCCTCATTTAATTAATAATTTCAATTCTTATCCTCTAATTCGGTTCCTTTGGCATGCATTCTTAGCTTTCTTGTTTTAGAAATTGTAGTCGGTTTAAGCTTTTGCCTTTTTGGCTATCTTCTTTCTGTTTCAGTTGTATGATCTAATAGACAAATAAAATTCCGGCTTCATCTACTAAAGATACAGTGAGGAGACCCCCTCAACCCATGATAAATTTGTATTTTAAAATTTAAATAAAATAAAATGCAACTCAGCATGACGCTGATGTAAATTTAATTTTCTTTTTATTTATTTATTTATTTATTTGGGTAAGTGATGTTGGAAAATAATGGTGTGGGTGGTTGAAATTGAAAATAGAAACAAAACTAATTAAAGAAAGAATATTAAATGAATTAAAGTGACCAAAGTACCCCTACTTCCAAGGGTAAAATTGAAATTTCACAAAAGAATTAAATTTGATTAAATCAATTAAATTGGATGAGGGATGTTACACCTTTTGAATAATCACCATGATTGTGACGATGAGTCTTTGTCGTAATAGATCATATTCAGATATTAAATACTTTTTAACACCTAATTTATTTTGTATCAATATTCCAAGAACATCATTAATTGGATGCGACTTTTTTGGTTGAGTTAGTTGGATGCATTATTTTTGCAAAATTAAATATCATTTTAACACCTAATTTATTTTGTATCAATATTCCAAGAACATCATTAATTGGATGCAACTTTTTTGATTGAGTTAGTTGGATGCATTATTTTTGCAAAATTAAATATCTGAGCACACCCTAAAGGTCGCCCCTGGGCTTGCACACCCCAAAACCTTGTTGTCATCTCATTTCCCGGCGACTATTTTTGTCATTTTGCATGGCCATTCAACATTCATCGCTTTCTTTGGTGTGCTTTGCTTTCAGGCTTTGAGTCTAGAGAGAGATGCGTGTGGAATAATCTGAATATGAAAGAAAGACAAAGAGAGTACAGGTTGACGTGAAGAATCTGATGTGTGCTTTGTTGGTTTAATCAGTCTCTAATAATAATAATAATTAACCTGCTAAGTCAAAAAGCAAACTTAATTATAAATTAGGGTTAACTACACTTTAGTACCTGGAGGTTTAGTGTCAGTATCGAGCCCCAAGATTTCAATTCAATCAATTTCATACCCGACATTTCAAAGTATTACCAATTTACACCCGCCGTTACATTGACCGTCAAAGTCAGACGTTAAATGCTGACATGGCAGTCGTGGGACCCACCTCATAACCATACAGCAGTTAGAAAGAGACCAATATAGGACAAATAATATTAAAAAATTCTTTATTTTTAAAGTTAATTAAAATCAATTATTTAAAACAACAAAAAAACATAATTAAAAAACCCACCCGTCAAACCTAAATCCAAACCCAGCATCTCCACCACCCACCCTTCTTCTTCCTCCTCCTTATCTTCCAATATCACCACCTTCGTTCCCAACACCCCTTATCTTCCACCCACCCTTCTGTCGGCACGAAGGATAAGGTTGGAGAGAATAGCTCTCAACTCCACACGTACTGCAGAAGGAAGGAGTTGCCTTTTGTGGCCACCCAAAAAGACTATAAGGCTAACAACAGTGGCTTACTCACAAAAATGGGGATTTCTATGGTTCCGCTCAAGAAATCCCTTATTTTTGGGAAAAATGGTGGTTTGGGATCTACTAGTAAGGTTCATGGAGGGAATTTAGATAGAAAAATCGTTAGAAAAGCGGGTGTCGGTGCTCCGAAACGACCAATTCGTTGAGGGCTTTGTTGTTGTCTACAGAGAAGGGCTCGTCCGGGTTTAAGCTTAGGGCTGATCTGGGTTTTCTCTTTGGTCTGTGGGTGTTGGGTTGTGTTTTTTCTTTATTTTCTTTAGTCTTGTTCTCTTTCTGCAGTGGATTCCTTATCCACTTTTGTATTTTGCTCCTGTCTTAATACAATTGTTTCTATTAAAAAAGAAAAGAAAAAAAGAACAACAATCCCACCGAGCCAGGAGAAATCTGGCATCATCAATGAAATGGCCCAGCTCCGAGATGTCATTGTTGGGGCCATTAACAGCAAGGACAAGAGCCTGTGAGTCACTTTCCAAAGCCACAGGAATGCCCAACCATGTTTGAACAACAGCTAGTCCTTCGAGAAGAGCCAGAGTCTCTACATGTGCAGGGGAAAAAACATTCCCGAAGCATCGAGCTCTGCATTTGTTTCACAATCTAGAGTCTAGCCACTTGCAGATCTGGGTATGGGGCTTGGTGGTGGGGATATGGGTGTATTAGCATAACTGGATCGAACCAGATATAAAAGAGAGAGAGAGAGAGAGAGAGAGAGAGAGAGAGACTAAGAGGGTTGAAGATATTTCAGAGGAGGAGGGAAAGGGGATGGGTCTGGGGCGGGGCTGCGTGGAGAAGAAGGGGACAGTTGGGGATCGTCCAGGCGGGCGTTGATCCTGATCGGCGATTCCTGCCGTTCGGACTGCCGTTCGACTTCTCGCTCCAATAGCCTGTGTCGGCAATTGGAATAGACCTTCTTCGGTACATGGGGCTTATTTTTGGGTGCCGGGACCACCAATTGTTTAGATGGCGCAGGCGTTGCCTTTGCCGCCCTCTTGCCCTTCTTCTGCCGGCGGGGGGTCTGTAGGCTTTCAGACGATCGATCTGTCGGCATGTTCTGCGTTTGCTGCTGGTTCAACAGCAGTTGTGTTTCTTCCACCCTGGTCGAGAGGAGATTATTGTGTTCTTGCATCCTAGCCATGTCCTGCCGAAGGGACACAACTTGGGCTAAAAGCTCCGCGTTTTCGGCGGATTGGATTACAGGGGGATTAGTTGCCGGTGTGTAGGGGGCTGGCGCAGGGCTAACCCCGCTTGGCATGCCGAACGGCATCCCCTCTCGTGGTACGAACGTAGTTTTTTCAGTGGTCCCCATATGTTCGGGATAAAGGGTCGATTTGATCGTTCCCACAGACGGCGCCAAACTGTTGACGCCAAAAAGTGGTTTTTTGACTTAGAGGGTTAACTTAGTAATTTTATGCCTTCGGTATCCTTGATGCCTCGGTAGCCTGCGCAATCTGCAAAAAGAGAGTACTCTCGGTAAGACCTAAGGCACCGGTACCGGCCGAAGGCTCTCCGATGCTTAAGTAAGTTCGGGAATAGAAAGTTCAACTGACAGATCAATAGGCTTGTATGCCGTAAGTTCTGATTACCTCCATTTTGGGATGGTTGGCCTCCTCTTATAGGTCTTGGGAGGTGTACATTTTGTTGAATATTTCGATGTGGGACTGTGGGCGTCGCTTGGGAGCGTGCCACGTGTCCCAGGAGAGAGCGTTGCCCTAATTGAGAGATCGGTAGGTAGAGTGCCGAGGGTGCCTCTGACCAAGCCCAGTTTCCTCCACGTGTCTTGCCCTTATTGGCTGTTTATTTTGGGTGTAAACAGGTATCACTTTGGAAATTTAGGGATATCGATTTGGAAATTATTGTCTATTGATTAACAATACTATGTTACAAGCATAAATACGGAATTACAATTGTATATGGATTAGGGCTGACCATGATATGGTAAATCATATGCATATATAAACATGTAAATTGGCGCATAAATCTTTTAATTTATTAGATTTATGAACTAGTTTACAAAGTTATGGTACCTTAGTTTCCCTACATTGTAATATTAGTCCTTATTGTAGTAAACACTTGTGTTCACTTGAAACAGGACCCCATTTACATCTTTAATGTTCACCAATTCCAACTCATCGTATTGGGATCCTTACAAGCATATAGAGGGAATTACCATAGTATGGATTAGGGCTGACCATATGGTAAACCATATGTGTAAACATGTAAATT